AGAACCCGAATCCCGTTTCGGGACCCGAATCGACAGTCAAGGAAACCTCATCACACCTCAAATTCATTTCATTGTGCTTACCTTTATTTAGTCTTCCGAACTTTTTAGCGTCAAAGAATCTGTTTGAACATTCATGGCTCATTTTGGAGGAGGTTTCATTCGAGGTCTTTTCGGACAAGGTGATGGCTAGTTTCTAGCAAGTCTGGACAGGGAAGATCAATGCTATTGAAATTTTTCGACCAGCTGGGAAGAGGGGTGCATATCTTGGCGCCACGCAAACGCATTTTCCACCCATGCCGCGCATGGCATAGCACCTCGATCTGCCACACACTGGAGCAACACCACACTTGATGGAAGTAACAGGATCCACCTTGACAAAGCTCCTGGCCAGTTTTGCACCAACCTTGTGGGAACCTCGGAGCCACGTTGTGGGAACCTGGTGGGAACCTTGGAAAGCTGTGGGAACATTGCAAGAACGTTGTGGGACACAGTTGTGGAACTTTGTTGAAGTGGAGCATCCATCTTCCCTTTCCAGACTTATTGAAAGCTTTTCCAAAACCTTGAGGCTTGTGAGGTTTCTACAACTAAGGTCCAAAGCCTGGCATTCGTATGCCCCGGCACTTCAAAAATCAAGCGTCAATATCCAAAAATGAAAAATACGCTCAACACTCGACTTAGCGGATCTTTATTGAGGGACATATAAAACCCACGATGTTCACACACACATTTTGTGTCTGGATTGACCTGGCCAGCCCCACCACCTGGAGAAATCGAGATATAATTGGAAATGCTTGTATGGTGTTTGAGTTGTATAATGCACGCGGGGGGTAAAATGCTTTTTTAAATCAATCCTATCATTTCATCACACAACCATGAAAACATCAATATCAAGATGAAACAACATTATAATACGAGAGGAAATATTATCACAGATGTATCAAGGCATCTTACTGTCTATCAGGATAATCATTGTTATAGCACTGTCGCAACTGCTAGCTGTCCATGCACGTAAGCAATTGTATAAAGGAAAGGAGGAACCATCCAATTCGGATTCCAATCTTGCATCAGATACCTTAATATCAACCCAATCGGGAAGGAAACATATTTTTGTTGTAAGTAAATATTCATTGTTTGCGTCGCAAAAAACTTTTATATTCATTAAAATGCCCAGAAAAATTTTAGATGTAAAACGGCCGTTCCTACCAAAATAAAGATAAATAAATATTTATTTAGGCCTGGCCGGAGCCATGCTAAGCAGACCTACTAAACTTATCGGCGGTATTTATACACGGGCATGAAGCGCATGCAAAAGTCGTTGCTCAAGAACGCTTTGGAGTTGTTCAGTGTCCTATTATATATTGGAGATCGGTAATTACTTTGGATTTGATCGCCGGTCCTTACAATTTTGGCATTAAGTGGACAGGCTTAATGGACAATGTGAAGGTGTGCTTGCTAGGTCCACTCCTTAAAAAGGAGAGGTTGAACCAATTAAGAAGCCTTATGACCATCTCTTGCGTCTTTTCACGTCAAGTAGAGAGAAGGTATTTGTATCAGGGGGTACAGAAGAAGCAAAAAACGACCATACGAGTAACCGCCTTCGCAACCATCTCTCTTCAAAGCTAATAACTTGCCTTACAGAACAATTCCCTCCAAATTCAAATAACCAAAATATATAACTAAATATTCTAAAAACTTAATTTCAAAGAAAAATTAAAAAAAACAACAAAAAAATCATGTAAATTTCGATTATAAAAATCCAAATAAATATTTACATTCCGACCACCAATTCAAATAACACAATAACCTATATTAAAATATTTTAAACAAAAACAAAAAAAAATTACGTAATAAATATATAAAATACATATATTTCATCAACAACAAAATTAATAATTCAATTTCAAATTATAATTTTGTTTTACCGAGCAAATTAAAAAACATAAAAAATAAATAATAAATATAATATTAATAATTCGATTCGAAAAAAATACGCAAAAAAAAAAAAAATAGAAATATAATATTAATTAATAATCCAATTCATCCAAATTCCGATAAAAAACATACCTTTATTAGCCTAATAGCTATCCTCCGCATCTATAAAAAATTAATCCTTCCGAAAACATAATTCAAAAATTAATTCCAAAGAAATCAATAAAATATATAAAACATATAAATAGAATAATAAAAAAAACGATTTAAAATTTCCAAAACACCCACCAATATATTCTTTCTTAATCATAAATCAATTCCATCGAATTTTTCGAAAAGATTCTACTTAAAACATAAATAACTACCATATCAATTTCAATATAAAATACAGACCGTTTCAAATACCTATAAAGTATTAATACACAATTTAAGAAAAATATATAATGCATTCACATATTTATATATATTTTTAAAATAAAATAATTATTTCCTTTAATTTAAACATATCGAATATATATTATTATGCTACCTAAAAATATCGAATTATCAAAATAAACAAATTTTATTGAAATAAATATATTATATTTTTTAAATTTCCAAAATTATATAACTATTTCGATTCCTTTCCATAGAAAAAATCAAATCGCAAACGTAAAACGAAACAAATATTCATCAAATATACCAAAAATAAATTTTAAAATTTCAATTTATATATATTATATATATACATCTATCTATCAATTAATTTCTATATATTACAATATATTAAAGCATCTAACAAAAAATCGAATAATAATCATCTTTCAAACACTAAATTATATTTTTACTAATGAAATCATAACCAAAAGACAATAAACGACGCATAAAACAAAAAACACAACTAATCAAACGCAAACAAAGTGCATCAAACAAGAATGCGACAGAAATATATGCAATACAATGTATCGCAAACGTAACCATTCTTTAAACAAAAGGAAAAATACAAAGAAGACCATAAAAATATATATAACTCATCGCAAACAACAAAAAACAAATGCGAAGAAAAACGCAAAAAAATAAAACGAACACAAAAGAACAACAAAAAGCACGAAAGATACGAAATAATCAAAAAATCACAAAAAATAGAAAACCAACAAAAAGACAAAAATAATATTAAAAAACACACAAAAGAAGGCCAAAAGAAAGACAAGAAAAACACAAGAACAAAACAAGAGGAAAAACAGAAAGCAAAATGAAAAAAACAACAAAACATAAACAAAAACGAAACGAAAACAAAAACAAGAGGGAAAAAAAGACAAGATAACCCCACATATTGAGCTTGTAAAAACTATCAGCGAGAAGTGGAGGTTGATGAGAAAAGCGGACGGAAAGATATTGGACGATAAAAGTGAAAGAAATGAGTGGCGTGTGATGAGTGGTGCGTGATGCGGGGTGTAAGATGAGTGGTATATGATGACTGGTGCGTCATGAGTGGTGTGAGATGAGTGGCGTCAGATGAATGGTGTATGATGAGTGGTGTGTGACGAGATGAGTGATGTGTGATGAGTGGTGTAAGATGAGTGGCATGTGCTGAGTGGTGTGTGACATCAGCGTGGTGTGTGATATCAATCAGCGTGGTGTATGATGAGTGGTGTGTGATGAATGGTGTAAATGAGTGGTGTGTGATGAGTGGTGTGTGATGAGTGGTGTGTGATGAGCGGTGTGTGACGAGTGTTGTGTGATGAGTGGTGTGTGATGAGTGGTGTGTGATGAGTAGTGTAAGATGAGCGGTGTGAGATGAGTGGTGTGAGATGAGTGGTGTGTGATGAGTGGTGTGTGGTGTGAGATGAGTGGTGTGTGATGAGCGGTGTGTGATGAGTGGTGTGTGATGAGTGGTGTGTGATGAGTGTGTGCTGAGTGGTGTAAGATGAGTGGTGCGTGATGAGCGTAAGATGAGTGGCTGCTCCGGGAGGCTCTGTGCACTGCGCCTGCCACGAAATCTACACGACAGGCACCCGCGGGCCAGCGGTGACCACGCGCTCCGCAGCTGGTCCGGGAGGCTCTGTGTACCGCGCCTGCCACGAAATCTGCGCTCCAGGCTCACCAAGTTCTGTGCCTGCCACGAAATCTACACTCCAGGTTCACCAAGTGCTGTGCCTGCCACGTAATCTACACCCCAGGCTCACCAAGTGCTGCGCCTGCCACATAATCTACTCTCGAGGTTCACCAACTACTGTGCCTGCCACGAAATCTACACTCCAGGTTCACCAAGTGCTGTGCCTGCCACGAAATCTGCGTGACAGGCACCCGCGGGCCAGCGGCGACCACGCGCGCCGCAGCTGATCCAGGAGGCTCTGTGTACTGCGCCTGCCACGAAATCTACACGCTAGGTGGTGTGAGTTGAGTGGTGTAAGATGGATGGTGTGAGTTGAGTGGTGTACAATGGGTGGTGTGAGATAGGTGGTGTAAGAGGATGCTATGAGTTGAGTGGTGTAAAATGAGTGGTATAAGATGAGTGGTGTAAGATGGGTGGTGTGAGACAGGTGGTGTAAGATAGGTTGCGTGAGTTGAGTAGTGTAAGATAAGCGTGGTGTAAGATGAGTGGTGTCAGAGAGGTGGTGTGAGATGAGTAGTATGAGGTGGGTGGTGTAAGATGGGTGGTATAAGCTAGGTTGTGTAAGATGCGTGGCGTCGGCGGAGGCAGAGCGAAAACAAGAACCCCACACAGTGATATGGGGAAAAGAGAAAAGAGGAGGACAAGAGAAGGAGAACGGGAGGATAAGAGCAGGACAAAAAGAAGACGATAGAAGGACAAAAGGAAGACGCAGCCAGCCAATGTGGCCAACTATTCTTCCAAAAAGAGAACCCCAACAGTAAACCGTTTGGGGAACGATTAAATACTAATTGATTAATTGCTTAAACGACCGAAATAAATTACGCCGAAAACGCGGTAGTAGGCCAACCCCTTCCAAACCAAATCGCGACGTGCGCGAGCATCTCTACGAAGCCTATACGGGGTTTGCCCGCCTCCCGTCACGCTTGTCTATAATTGCATAGATAACAATACGCGCGCGGGCCCGTATATAATGCCCACGGAAGTCTAGCTCAGCAGGGCGCGTTGCCTAAACAGATTAGCTCAACAACTTCACAATTTCAAGTTCAACCCTCAAGAATGCAAGGCTGCCTTCACAAAGCTAACACCGCGCAACAAATCCTTCAATGAATGTGTAATCCACCACCATATTTCTCGATTTCATCATTTTCCTCAAAAGGTGCTTCCTGAAACTTCTTAACTACCGCTCCACACAGCCACCAAGCAAATCAACTAAAGAAACATCCATAGTGCATTGTTCTTTCCATCATGCATTACAGGATCGGCAACTCACAACTACGCAACCCTGCGCGAGACACTGCTATTCGCAGTTGCCCGCGCAAACTTCCCCCCCAAGTACACCCATACAAACCATTTGAAGAGCGGCTACCACTGTATGTATTCTTGCAGGTTTATGTTTTGAGCTTTTAAGATTGTTCTTCGTGCCTGTCTTTTCGCTTCGCTGCTGGGCTTTCATTTTCACGGTGTTTCGGAAAATTTCAACTCAAATGCCCTTGCCCTCAAGAAAGCTTTTCCAAAATCAAGCGCAAGTCTTTTTCTCAATATTGCACTGTTGGTTGGTTTTACTTTTAGTAAAGTTATGTTAGTTATAAGTCATGGTTGGCCTTGCGTTGGGCTAGCCCAGCTTTACAATAAATTGCAAATGAAACATCAGACCATCAAACCACTACTACTCCAAGAAAACATCACCCAATATGCCTCAACGCTGCAGGTTCTCTCACCTGACAACAATTCATTCGCTTTGTTCATGAAAGCCTGAACGGGGCCAGAGCAGCCACATGTCATCACACCGACCGGAAGAAGCAAATTCCCATCTACTCTCTCGGAACATTCCCACCACCCATCCACAAAGAACAGCGCCAAGAGTTTTCGTCTCGACACCTAGGCTATTTTGTTCAAGACCAATCTTGAAGCTGTGCTTTGAACGCAATCGATCCATCAGGATCGCAGCTCCAATCGAATTCGGTGCAAACACGCTGACCTTGCGGCAAGTGGCCTGCGAAATCGAAGTGTCACGACTCAGGATGGGCAATCAATTCAATTCCAATCTTTGTTAACGAAAGAATTTTTCGCAGCTTTCAATTCAAGCCAAATGCCAGGGTCCTAGAGGGCATGACATGTGCAAATTATGTCTAACATGGTCCAACCTGTTGCTGAATCTGAGCTCCCCACCATGAAGCCATCTGGGTTACAATGGGGAAGGCCTCTCAATTGTGGATCCTTGGCCACTGTAGTTTGTTTTGAAATTGATTTGAAAACACAAGAGCCCCTCTATGTTTTCTGATAGTTCCGAAGAACCATTGCAGTCACGAGTGAGTAGCTCTTAGGGAACGTCCCAGCAAATGGACAATGCTTGATTCTGGGAACTTAGACCCTGACTCACAAGATGCTCTACCAACCCTAAGCTTTCCTATCAAACCGAGTCCAAACATCGCAAAACATCTGTTCAATATGGTTCATTTTAGGAGCTGAAGATGGAGGGTTCAGTTCAAACATCAAATATCTTCATTTCACGCAAAGCCTTCAAACGCTGATGGATATTTGTGGTGGGCACATCTTTTTCTCTGAAATGCATTGCTTGCATCTGTGCGCTGCCCCTTTCAACAGCTCGGGCCCGGTATGCAGTAAATACTGATGAGTCAGAACCGCCTTGCAAAGACTTTTGCTCAATAGTTGTTTACACTCTTTCTGCCTTCAATAGAAGGCGTGTTGTTGGGATCGGAGAGGGTTGATGGGGGAATGTTGGAAGGCAGGGATGGGCAGCCTGTGACTTAGCTGCAGAAAGATATGGCAAAGGAACCAGCAATCTCTCAAACTTTCATTCCTCTTAGGTCTGAGGAAAATCGGTCAAAACATGAACAACTGTGCAATAATTTAAGGACCCTCACTCCTTGGAACCTTCACTTGGAACGCTTTCCTTGAAACCTTCAATCGCTGGAGCCTTCACTTGGAAGAACCCTTACTTGGAACCCTTACACCTGGGAACCTTGCGGAACCCTGCGGGACAACTCCACCTTTGCCAACCCTGTCCTCTTGATCGTCATTTTCACCTCTTGCAAATCGTCGAACTTCCTTGCCTGTAGCGACGCAGCGGTGCAGCAGTCTGAAGGAGTTCGTTGTTTGTGGCAACACATGGTCCATCTAAAGCGCAATATGCACATGGAAAATCTCTCGACCCCCATTATGTTGACGTCGCCTTATATTAAAACCCACAATTTTTGAGAAAGAAAGGGCCCTGAGCAAGATGATTCCAAATATTGTGGAAAGGGGCCCGGCACCAAAACGCATGAAATCCACAGCAAAAAAAATGCACCACCCTAAACCCCAAACATGTGCACAACAAGAAGGGAAACAAGAAGGGAGACAAAAGGAACCAGAAGGGAGACAACACGGACACAATGACCAACAAGAAGGAGACAAGAAGGGAGGCAAAAGGAATCAGAAGGGAAGCAAGACGGACACGATGACCAACAAAAATGGAGACAAAAAGGAAACAGAAGGGAGACAAGACGGACACAATGACCAACAAGAAGGGAGACAAAAGGAAACAAAGGGAGCTTAGTTGTCTTCTTCCTCTTCACCTCAGCCAGTGGAGGTTTGCCTCTATCCCACCAGGGTTGCGGGGCCCGCAGACTCAGCGCGTTCCCACCACTCAGTCACATGCGTGTGTGTCAGCGGTCTGCGTGCCACGAAAACTAGACAACATGGCGCCAGCGCTCCAAATGCCTCGAAGCCAGCAATCAGGCACAGAGATAGCTTTGAGCTGAAGGTGGCTGCGGGCCAGTTCTACACTATTGGGGCGGGTTTAGTAGGGTGCGTTTGCATCGATTCTTTGTGGTCTTGAGCAAAATTTGGCGCATGAAACTGTTGAAGAATTTGTGTGACTGTCAATGCTCCTTTTTCACCCTCTTCACTGAATGACAATTTCAAGTGGCCCGCAAAGCCCATTGCCACGCGAAATCTGATCTGATCAACTGGGGCATGGGCGCGCGCTGTTGAATCAACAAAACGTTGACGCTCGCGCGCCAAACTACTGCTGGCAAAGAAATCTTCTCTCTGCTAGGACCATGGCACATGTCTCAAGGGCAACAATTGCCATCCACTTTCTGCTTCCGCAATAAGCCAACAACGTTCCCCAAGCAGATGCATTCGGGCTCCCGTGCATCCACCAGCGGCAACAAGCCATAGAAGACATCAGCCGTAGTGCTGCCCTGGCCTGGTTCGAAGCGTGGTTGCTTCTGCAATCGACGCAAGGAACCCCACAAACCAGCAAGTCAACGCAGTCGACGCAGGCATGCTGCTGCTCCATGAAGTCCCAGCATGGACCTGGCAGGTCACTGGTATCACCAAATAAGTGCCTCAAAGGTGGTCTTTTCTGTGGCCGTTGCTGCAGAAGCGAACGCTTGGTTGCATCCCGCTCAGCGGCGATATAATGCGCTTCAGGCGCAGCAGCCACGCTGGCCACTTCGTCAAGCGCCCGTGCGCATGGTCAGAACAAGTAGCGCAAAAATTGACCAACCAACAATGAACAAACATCAGGCGTGGCGTGGCTGCTCATTCCGGATTCTCAATTGGCTGGGCAAAGCTTACTGTCCTGCGAGCGAGGATCTGGCAACAAAGCTGCAAGCGCCATGCAAAATATCAAAGCCTGCGCAAAGGAAAGCAGCCCTCCATTCATGGCACTCGCAAAACTTCTGGAGTTCCACGCCGTGTGAGCGCCAAGTGGCGACGAAGTGCTGCTTCACTGTCACGCGAAGGGAAAAGCCATCGGCCACATCCGGAGCAAGCTCCATGCTCAAGCAAGCGCACTGCCCTGCCTTTGGCCACTGGCTCCCCAATGCATTTTGGGCAAGTGCTTCACGCGCAGGGCCAAGTTCTTTAAAAGAAACGCTTCCAAAACATTACGCACGTTGTGTTTAAGCGCCACCACTTTCAACGATGGCCTATGAAGCGAGAACGGTAAGCTGCTGCAGAAGAGCTTGCCACACGCTTGCAGCAGGGAAATATACACCGCAGCAGTGAAACAAGAATCAAGTAGCGGGTGCAGAGGCGCTCTCAATCACTTCCTCAATGCTTGGGGCTTTGCCCGCCATTCAGATCAGTGATTGAGAGTGAGCCCTGCAACCTGAGGCCAGGAAACAAGCCCCATGGTCACCAGAAGCAACCTGAAACTTATTGCAAAGTAATTTATCAAAAGCCTCCAGACAGCAACCAAGCAACAGTTAAACTTGTTTGCTCCTCTCATGTCCTGTGCTCTCACGCGCCTCGACCGCCGCATGTTTTGAACTTGGGGTGCTCCATGGGCGC